AATGAGTTGCTCTATTGAGCAGCTCTCACAGGCACTTCTGAACCCTCATGCAGGTATCAAGTAAGCATTTATACTCAAAATAAAGGTTTTCTCACAAAACCAAGGATAGAAATAATACCAAACTCATGAGTTTCCTGAGAGTAATTCCCTTCCATTTAGAAAACAGGAGGGGTCCAAGAAAGAACTCCTTCTCTGCAGGGGAGGAAGGCAGGAAGGAAGGAAATGTGAATTACATACACCTCTGGATAAGTTCTCCTTAAGAAAAAGAAAAAGGAAGGAAATTAGAGTTAACTAAAAAGAGCATGTTTAGCATCACTGCACAAGCTGGGGGAAAAAACCTCGGAAATCCTGGCTAAAGATAATGCTGCCTCCTCTTGTCACTGCTGGCCTTCCACAGTCCCTGCCCAGGCAGAGGGGAAAGGGCCATTTTTCACCCTTTTATAAGCAGCATCACTTTGAAGTTACTTACAAATCAGAGTCACCACTTGACGGTCACCTCTCCCTATGTCATCCCATGTTTCTTTGTAATAGGGCTGTTAAAAAACATGTGTTTTCCCTTTTTTTTTATTATTGTTATTAAAAAAGGATAACTCATAACTGAGCAGAGACAAAGGCTCTGTTGATACAACATGTGGATTAAATCTGAAAGGAGAAAGAAGGTTGTTCTAGTAAACTGACAATCCTGCTCAGAGGGCTTATATCTAAATTAGTGTAATAAATCACAAGGAAAGATTTCTCTTTGACTGAAACAACCATTTATTTAGGCATGCAAAAAGAGCATTTTAAAATCACTCTGGACACTGTATACCAAAGACTTTCTTTGGTTTTGTTCTTTTTTTGTTTTTGTTTTCTTTTGTGTTTTAAGCATATCCCCAAAGTTTTGCCTTTGCTTGACATAAAAATATTTACTTTCTGATGCTTAAACCTATGACAAGTCAGCCAGACAGCACCACTGGGCTCTTAGCTAAACCGCTCCTACTGAAACAAGAGAAAAAAAGGAAGGGAAAAATGGTGCTTGCTCCATTACATCATCACATCAGGCAGAAGACTGCCCTAAATTTAAGCTTTCCCTATTATGCTCCTCTCCACTGTTTTTATAAACACAGCTGTACTTCTTCCCTTAACCTCTGTTAGCAGTGGCTTTTCCACGGCTTTTTAAAGCAGGAAACACTCTGCAGCTCTGGCTGCCTCCTCCCATCACACAGCAATTTGGCCCAGCAAAAGAACCTGCCCTGTGAGAACGTCAGTCTGAGGGGAGGTGAACAGCAGGAAGGGGCTCAAGAAAGCTCAGCCACATCACCAGCCTCAAAACAACTGGCCAGCAGCAGCACTGGGCCCCCAGGTCCCACAGACACTGCTGCTGAGGGGGAACCAGGGCTGGGCAGAACCTTCTCAGTACAACACTGACTGTAACCAGAGGTGGGACCAAGAACTGCAACCAGCTTCTTTAATGAAGATTAGATTGCACCTGGGACTGATCTGAGAGCTAAAGCAGAGCTGACACCAGCATGTCTTTTATTGCACCCTTTGGTACACTGTGCTGGGGAGATGGCGTCGGCTAACCCAGGCAAACCCATCAGCACAGAACACCAGCTGCTCTTCAAACACTGACAAAGACCAAACCAGCATCAACTGAACCTTTCAGCTCCACAGAAAAGTTCTAGGAGGAAATATTTCCAGATGTTACTCAGAACTGGAGGAAGGTGTTTTATACAAGCAGGCTGCAGCTCCTCTGGAGTATGCTCTGTAATGTCACGAGCTCCTGGATTACCAGCCTTTTGTAGAACACCCAGACTGTGGTAAAACGTGAGAGTGAGCTGGATATGGGATGGAGAACAACACCAAGGAGACGAAGATTTTGGCTGAAGCCTCTCTCATTCACAGTGTCAATCCCAGTGTCATTAACTGAAATCACAAGAGTACAAGAAACACTCCTGAAAACCATGAAAAACACAATCCCCAGCCCCACAGATGAAATGCTTTAAGCTCAGTAATTGTTTTTGCTCTGCCAAAGGAGTCCTATATATTCCATTCCACCTTAAAATCCATTTGCCAGGCAGACAAATAAAAGGTTCCTCAGAAACTCCAGATGATGCAGTCACTGGGAAGCCATCCCAGCCTGCCTTGTTCGCTGCCGTATTCCCAACTCCCTGAAACAATCCAGGGGCCACACAACAGCCCCGGGTCAGGTCGGGGCTGCTCCCTCTCCCTGGCCCACTCCCTCTGCCCAGAGAAGCTGTCGCCACCCTCCCAGGAGAGTGGTGGGAGCTGGGAATCACACAAGTGCCTGCATTTATCCCAAGGGCTGGTTTGCCAGGATACCTCACCCAGACCTGACTGTAAGGGCTGCTCACCCTGTGCCATCAGCTGCCTCCCAGGCTGCAGGAGTGTCTCCACAGCGCTGCTTCCCACACACCTGCAGCCACCCACACGGCCCCACTCAGCCCAGCTGCCACCGCCTCCTCCTGCATCTCCAGCTGGGACAGACGCTGGTGAACCCCGGAGCAGGAACATCTCAGCTTTCCTTCTACTGCAGGCAACCCCTCTCTGCCAAAGAGCTAAGGAGCTGTTCTAGTGGGACAGAAAGGGAAGGTGCAAGAGGAGATTAAAAACTAGGAGAGGAAAAAGATGGCCTGACTGGTACTTTTTCTTATTATTCTGCTTTGATTGTGGAAAATGGAGTCTCGTGGCCAATAGTTCACAGAAGCCCCACAGAGTGATTCAGAAATGCAAGCAGAGTGCTGTCCCCTGGTTGAGCACAGAACCTCCTGTTGTCAGTGTCTGTTGTCCTCACCCCACAGATAACAAAGCTGCACCTCGGAGTGAAGCTCCCTGGCAAGGCAGACGTGCCAGTCTCAGCTGGAAGGAATCATTCCCAGCAAGGAGCTGGCCCTGGCTGGCCCTGCCACATCATGTCCTGTGCCTCCTCTCCCACCTTGGAGAGGCACAGGAGCACCCCAAGGAGCGGTGAGCAGAGCCCAGCTCATACCTGCCCTGCTGTGGCAGAGGGGAATTAAGAGGCTGAGTAAAGCCATACCTCAAAGCTGAGGTTTATGCCCTGGAGGGATGGCTCCAGCCTAGGAAACATGCCCTGGGATCTGCCAAGCCTCCCCAGTGTGGCTGTGAGTCAGTGCTAATTGCTCAGAAAACCTTTCAGGTCCCACCGGTTTGGTTTGGTTTTGTGAAAGCAAAACAAGGTAATGTTTGGACAAAGGTAAGATTGTGTTTATGTTTACAGACAATCTGACTCCTGCATATGAAAAATGCTTCTGCTTGGACAAAAAACTAAAAACACCAAGAAATCAAAAGTCATGCAAATGATTTGGCTCTATAATCTTGCCAGAACAGAAGCACCACCAAAGCAGTTGAGCCATAACCATGGTCTTAAATTTGACTTCTCTGACTCCTGCTTTGTTCAATATTTTAATTATATTTTTAAAAAATTCTAAACCACTTCAGATTTCAAAGCACATTTATATACTTGATTAATTCTTCCAAGTTAAAAATCATTATCCTGTTTTTTACAGAAGGAAAGTGAAAGGAGATATGACAAGCTATTTGTCAAAGGCACAGAAGGAACTGGTGTAAGGGCTGGTATTAAAACCCAAGAGTTTCTGAAGCAACTTGTTTCTTATAAAAGATTTACTTTTTTGAAGTTGATAGCAACCCAAAGAAATTCCAAAATTAATATACATTTAAGATCAGAGCAGTTTATGGGTAAAGGCCACAAGAAAAGTAATTTACTCTAATTAATTCCCATTTAGAAAACTACAGAGAACTCTCTAACAGATTGTTGCCATGTTCCACATAGAGCACAAGCATGAAATCAGCCCACAGCACAGGCACTCTTGCCTTGGATCATTCGTACCCGGGGCACTCCAGCTTGGGCTTCTCTTGATGCTCTGGGGGGCAAAGGACTTTTGCACCAGGCCTTTTCCCCAGAGCTGGTTTGGGAACGTGGCTGCTCAGCCTCCCCGTGGATGAGTCCAGAGTGCCCTCTAACGAGGCTGGGCTGCATTTCACACACACACACACACACACACGGGAGAGCAGGAAAACCCAAAAGGAGCCTTTCCAGAAGCTTCTCGTTAAACACCAATTTTTGTTTCCATTTGAAAGGGAAAAGCAGATGACACACCCTGACTGGAGACTGCTCCTGCACAGACATTTCATAGTGCCCTGTATTATGTAAACCATCACTGAGGAATATCAGCACTAAAGATAGGAAAATTCACAGTTCTCCCATTCCATGAGGAGATTCAGACAACAGATAACCCACTACAGCTTTTTAAAGAGTTCTGCACAATCTACTTTACCTGTAAGGAACTGCTGCTTAACTTTTCAACATAGGATGTAGCTACATCAATCTTTACAAAAATAAGTGAATTATCATGAATGAAGTTCACAAAGCAAAATGGAATCCTCATAAATCTATTCTGTAATACATCACTGTACCATAAAATATTGATTATTTGAAGGATGTCTGCACCTAAGAGTGGTCACACAAGCTGCAGTGATGAAACAGGATGTTTGTATGACAGGCACTTGGTTTATTGTCCACTCCTTGGTTTATAGTGCAGTTCCCTTTCTCCCACCTATGTGAACCATCGTGCAAAAGAGGGAAGTTCATATTGCTTTGAGAAACAAACCCCACACTGATCCTCAGAATAGACATGCATTTTAATAATCTCAGCATCACACTGTCAGAATAGGGCCATTCCTTCCCCTACACACAGATATGCCAAGAGAGCTGCTCAGTGTGGGCTCAGAACAGCCAGAGCAGCTCCTGCCCCTCCCTCCTGCTCTGTCCCGCTCCAAGGACACCCTCAGCCATCCCCCAACACCCGAGCTGGGAGCACAAGGTAGAAACGATCCTTTCCCAAGCTCCTGCAAGACAGAAAAGGGGCAGGAGTTCCTGAGGCTGTGCTGCCCCAATCCTGCCAGATGTGGGAAGTGCCCCCAGATGGTCAGAAGCCTCTGAGCAGACTCAGCAAACTCACCCCAGAGGACGGTGAAGGCGTTACCTGCTGAGGGATGTCTGGGGGGTCCCGCTGCCACCTCGGAGCTGCAGGGAAGCAAAGAGGCCTGTGAGCACATTGTTTGTGCACCTGCCCCCACAACACCACAGCCCCACGGCCCCAACCAGCACCTGGGGCAGTGCAAACTGGAGAAGGCAGACTGGTAGGCAGCAAATGCTTCCTTTAACCCATTTTACACACTCGCCAACATTTTTACATCTTGCTAAACATCTTTACAGTAATGTTCGGATCATGAGGTGCTCTGAGGGGAGACTCCAGAGCAGTCTACAACTTGCTACTGAGGGCAGCTCCGATCTCTGCTCTCTGTGACCAGACACAGGACCCAAAGGAACGGCTGGAGCTGTGTCAGGGCAGGCTGAGGTTGGATCTCAGGGAAAAGTTCTTCCCCCAGAGGGTGCTTGGCACTGAACAGGCTCCCCAGGGCAGTGGGCACAGCCCCAAGGCTGCCAGAGCTCCAGGAGGGTTTGGACAACGCTCTGAGGGACAGGATGGGATTGCTGGGGTGTCTGTGCAGGGACAGGGATTGGACTGGATGGTCCTTGTGGGTCCCTTCAGCTCAGGGTATTCTGTGATTTTATGTGGGTAAGAGTCACCGAAGCCTAGGCAGAGCACCGTGTGATGGGATGAACCATTCACAGAACCAGCATCCTGAGCCATGCAGGTTCTCCAATTCTACAAACACAGCCCCACCAGGACACCTGCACTCCCTCCATCCACTGACCCAGTGGCCACCACTGCTCACAAAGAGCCCAGAGAGTGACAAAACCTGCCCTGCCCCAGCTGACACAGCAGCTTTGGCCTGTCCAGCACAGCTGCACTGCCCTCCTCAAACACCTAAGCCCATCTCCCTTAAGTTTGTAACAGTGGGAGATTTTAGTCCCCAGGGAGTATTTTCCAAAAATGTACAGGCAATTATACAACCCAAGAAAAGCCACGAGGAGCAGTTTGGTACAGCCAGGACTTCCCAGCAGTGCAGATCCCCTCCTGTGGGGATCCGTGTTCAAACACTCCTCACAGCACTGCCATGTTCCAGCCAGCTCTTTTCCTGACACTGCAGATTATTCCTTGAGGAGGTCCAGGTAGAGTTTGACATTACAAAGATCAGCAGTGGACAGTGTCCTGGCCATTTTAAAAATGAGACTTTTCCTCCATGGACATGTAACCCAAACATGGCTCAGTGAATTCCTGTGAAAATCAAGAAGTACCAGAAAGTGTCTTTTGAACTACAGAACAGGAAGTTTCAGCACAGATTAAAAAGTGTGGAAAAATGCAAGAGCAAATAAATCTCTGAAATGAGTAACTGAAGTGTAAAAATTAGCAACGCGAGTTTTTTTCTGCTATAGAAATGTCTTTGGCAGTAGCAATGGCCTCAACCCTCAAACCCTCCTCAGAGCCAGCACCAGGGGCTGTGCCCAGAGCAGCAGCCCAAGCCAGTGGTAACGCTGAGAATAAGTAAGTTGTTAATGACATGTGCAGGGTTTATTGCTTGATTTTGACCTGCAGTCCACCAAGCACTATCTGTCCCAAACCACCCAGCAGGCAGTGAGAACAGCTGGGAAAGGACTCCCTACTCCTGAGCTAAAACACCTGGACAAGACTCTCACCTTCCAGGCCCAAATTAAGGCCATTTGGTCACAGTGCAACTAAACCTCCACATGGATTCCAAAAGAATGAAGACTTTTATTCTCTGGGGAAACAGCCTTCCAGACTTCTGACATCCCACATATACAGACTCCCCTTTCATTTTTCTGCAAGACTTTTTCAGACTTTTATCACTGACATCTACCATAGCTCCTCCAACACTCTATCAATTTATTACACATTCATTCAATTAAAAGGTGAAAATGTGAACCAGCAGGATGTTCAGCCCCCAGCACATGTCCTGTTTCTGTTCATGTATTTCTGTTGCTCACACATTGCTCAGTTCCTCTGTGGCCAACCAGTGTCCCTGTTTACCAAGGGAGCTGCTGAGGAGGCTGCAGAGCACCACAAATCCTCAGAGAGCTACAAGAAAATTTTTACCTGGAGACATATTATATATACAAACTCAGTAATTTGGTTTTCAATGAAATGATTAAAACTTGGTTCAGAAAAACACCCTCAATTCAAATGAAATGTCTCTGTCATTAGCCCAGAGGTGGCTGTGCCCCCTCATTCCCTCTCCTCCCAGGCTACATCACACATCAGCAAGTTATTTAGTGCATGTTTGGATAAATTATTTATTCACAGGAGCAAATACTTTGGTTGTCTGAGTGCACAGACCTGATCTCTGTGAACTGGGATCTCCCTGTGCACGAGCACCCCAGCTGTCCCACCACAGGGCTGACAACTCACCACACAGGGCCCACTCCCTGCTGGCCCTCACCTCTCTCCAAGCTGCCTTGGGAGAACAACAGGAATTACCCTTGTTGCAGCTCTGTCAATTTGTGTTTGCCATGGAAAGAAGCACTCTGAAGTCTTCAGTTGAGCCCTGACCCTCTGCACGTGCCCCGGGCACTGGTCTGATGTGGTTTCAGGTGAGCAGCGTGTTCGACACCACAAAGAAAGATGAGAAGTTTCCTGCACCTGCTGAACTGTCACCACCCCAAAACTGTGCAGGGCAGTGTCAGGATTTCTCCCAGAGAGCTTTCCTGCCTTAGACACTCCAGACAGAGCTTTACTGAGGGAGCATTTACATTCCAGAAGATGCATTTTGTTGGCTCTGCTCCACATGCTAAAATTTGATTACTCCTGCTCTATTGCTTGCAGACACCATGAGCAAAACCATGATATCAGGAGTCCTGGCTATCAGTGATGGCTGTGCCAAAAGGCTGCCCCAGCCATGGGCAGATGCCTGTTTCCGTGTAAAACCAGGGAGGCAGCAAGTCCTCAGAGAGCACCACAGTGCACAGTGCTGTGCAAGAGGCAGTTTCACTGCCCATGGGAGCACAGGGAGATTTATTGGTTTATTTTAACTAAAAAGTAATAATTTCAAAGTGAGTCAGTGGATCCTCTAGCTGACCCTGTCATCCAACACCTTTTATAAATCCTCCTGCCCTTAAAGCATCCTTGTCCTTCTGAAGTACATGGAGCCTGATCCAGCTGGACATGTCCCTGCTCACTGCAGAGGGCTGGAACAGATGGGCTTTAAAGGTCCTTCCCACTCAAACCATTCCAAGTTTGAGACAAACTCCCGAAATCCCTTTACAAGAACCTGATGAGGTAAACAATAACAGCAGAAAGTCCCAGCAGGAAAACTCTGCTTTTGCTAAGCATGAAACACTTGTAGGTGACTTAAAAAGCAGCCATTGCTGGGAATCCCTTCCTGACCTCCCACCTGGATCAACTGCAAACACACAGGGATGAGAGTAAATGCGGGAGGGGATTCCCTGCACTGGGGTAGCTCAGCTCTCTGCCCACCTCAGTGTCTGCTCTCTGTGCCCGAACTCTGATTTAAACAACAGGAGAGGAGAAACACTCCCTTAATCTCACTTTCCTCTGGAAGAAGAGCCTGTGGAATTCCCCCCTGAAGAGCTTCATCCAAAAGCCTAAGATTGCTTAAACCTGTCTTAATTTAGACCACCAGCCCTTCAGCAACATTAAACAAACCCCCCTGCTATTTCTGCAGCCCAGCAGAGCCCAGGAGGTGCCTCAGTGAGGATCCCCCGAGCTCCCCACAGCCCTGGCCCGGCCTGGCCCCGGGGACCTGCCCAAGGTTCTGCTTCAAACATCCTGAGCTGAAGAGCCCCAGACACTTCCAGGCCTTTAACCTCCCCCTGAACCATTCCTGTAAGGAACCTCCAGCACTGCTGGGAAATTGGGTCACATTTAAAATAATTTGTGCAGCTTTGCCTCTCAGTTACCGGATCCCTTTGTTGGAAAGGCTGACAGGACCCAGCACTGGGAGAACTTTCCCATAGGCATGGATTTCCAGAGTGGCTGAGTCACTCCTGAACTCCCTTCTCTTGGATGTGCCTGAATAAACTGAGCTCATTAAGGGTTTGTTTTCCAGAACAGGAGCATTTTTGTGGCCTCCTCTGAGCTCTCCAGCATTTTCCTATCTCACTGGAGAGCTCCTGTAACTGGAGATGCTCTGGCAGCCTGATCTAACAACCACATGCACACACATGATCACTGCAGCTCCATTTCCTCTAGAAAAAGAAAAAAAAACACACAGCAGTGAATTCCAACTGTGCCACTGGTGCACCTCCACCCTGGCAGTCCCTCTGTCTGCGGTGGAAGCTGTTGTGGGCTGCAGCCTTTATGTGGTACCAAGATCCTTCTGCCACTTGGAACCACCCACCCAGGCACAGCAGGAACATCTCTCACTGCCCACCTGCCTCTGTGTCAGCAGAGGGGACAAACCTGCTCTGGGCTCAGTCCCCACCTGAACACGGATCAGGGAAGTGGAGGAGCTGAATCCCACTCATTTATTATTATCCCGCTCACAATTAACAACTGATGTGGGATTTGCTCTTAAGGTAATACTTAAACTTCACCTTGCCACACCACCTTTGTTTAATTAAACCGTCAGGTCACATTAGAGTACAATTCCTCAGAAAAAATTCCAAGTATATGACACGAAGTGTGTCATCAGCTGACTTAGCCAGATGCTGCAATCCCCTCTCAAGAGGGGACACCAGGGGGGGAATCTCTTTTCCAAGCACATGTTGTCCAGCTTTTAACCTCTACGTTTGCTGCATTTGCAGCACCTAACCCTTTGCAAGGTTTCACCTGCTCCTTTTATTTTATTCTGACGTAAGTTCAGCAAACTGCATTTTCCTAAAACACACGTGTCGTCTTTCCATAGTGGTGCGGACTTCCAACCCCTCAAGGGCAAGAGGGCCTTGAGCTGCCCCAGGGGAGGTTTGGGAAGAAGTTCTTTGCAGAAAGAGTGCTCAGACAGGGAGGGGTTGGACTCCCCGTCCCCTGGAGGTGTTTAAAGGACACACTCGGAGGTGGCATCACTGCCGTGGGCTGGGTGACAAGGGCTTGCTGTGGGGTCCCGGGCCGGACTCGGCGACCTCAGAGCTCTTTTCCAACCTCGCCGATTCCCGACTTCACTTTCCCCGTTGTTTTCCCACAACATTTAAAAATCGATGGGGGGAATCAACCAATTCGTCCAAATCTGAGCTGCCTGAACACCATCCCCCCTCAACCCGGCCGTGCGAGGCTTCCCCGTGCGGGACCGGCCCCGGCAACGCGCCGGGAGCGGGACAGCGGGACCGTACGGTCCCGCTGTCCCGCTCCCGGCGCGTTGCCGGGGCCGGTCCCGCCGGGGCCATCCCGGGACTCACCTGAACCGCCCGGAAGCTCCCTCAGAAACCCGGCCGGCCCCGGAACATCCCGCGCCCCACACCGGCCTCCCTTTTCCGGGAGGCGCCGGCGAGCAGCGCCAGCAGAGGGCGCTGCCGCCCGCGGCACGGCGAGGGCTACCGTAATTACCGGAGCGCCTACCGTGCTTACTGTAGTTGGCGCGCACCCTATCTGTGGGTGTAAGAATGTTCAGTGTAAACAGCCCCAAAATCGGCGCTCGGGCCGCGACGCGGGCCGGGATCGCTTCTGCTGGCTCTTCAGGTGCCCTCCGCTGCCCTCAGCGAGAGCGGCATCCCACCGCTGCCCGCTTAGGTGTAGCCGCCGCCCTCGCCGCTCTGCCCCGACGGCTCCCCGGGGTCCGTGTCCCTGGGTCCATGTCCCTTCCCGGGGTCCGTGTCCCCTCTCTGGGTCCGTGTCCTATCCCTGGGTCCGTGTCCTATCCCTGGGTCCGTGTCCCTTCCCGGGTCCGTGTCCCTTCCCGGGGTCCCTGTCCCATCCCTGTGTCCGTGTCTCCTCCCGGGGCCCGTATGCCCCTCCCAGGATCACTGTCCCTTCTGTGTCCCCAGTTCTGTGTCCTCTCCTGGAGTCCATGACCCATTGCGGGGGCCGTTTTCCTTCATGGGGTTCATGTCCCCACCGTGTCCGTGTCACCTCCTGGGGTCCGTGTCCCTTCCCGGGGTCTGTGACAACTCCCGGAGTCTATGTCCCCCCATGGGATCCGTGTCCCCTCCTGGGGTCCGTATCCCATCCCTGGGTCCATGTCCCTTCCCGGGGTCCCTGTCCCATCCCTGTGTCCGTGACAACTCCCGGAGTCTACGTCCCCCCATGGGATCCGTGTCCCCTCCTGGGGTCCGTATCCCATCCCTGGGTCCATGTCCCTTCCCGGGGTCCCTGTCCCATCCCTGTGTCCGTGTCTCCTCCCGGGGCCCGTGTCCCCTCCCAGGGCCACTCTCTCTTCTGTGTCCCCAGTTCTGTGTCCCCTCCTGGAGTCCATGGCCCATTCTGGGGACCGTTTTCCTTCACGATTTTCGTGTCCCATCCCTGGGTCCGTTTCCCTTCCTGGGGTCCGTGACCACTCCTGGGGTCCAAGTCCCCCCATGGGATCCGTGTCCCCCCATGGGGTCCGTGTCCCATTCCCTTGTCCTTCTCCCCTCCGTGTCCGTGTCCCCGGGCACGGGCGGGCTCCGCCGCCCGGGGGAGGAGCGGAGCGGGCAGAGGGGCCGCCCGTCCCCGCCCCGCCCGGCAGGTGAGGCAGGTGAGCCCCAGGTGAGCTCCAGGCGGGGCTCAGGTGCGCGGGGCTCAGGTGAGCGGGGCTCGGGGGAGCCCCGGAATCCCCGTCCATGGCGTACCGGGAGCTGGTGCGGCGCTGGCACGAGGGGGTGCGGGCGGCGGACCGCGGGCACTGGGACGCGGCCCTGGAGAGCTTCGGCGCCATCCCCGACCCTCCGGCGCGGATCTGCTTCAACATGGGCTGCGTGCAGCTGCTGGCCCGGCGACCAGAGGCGGCTCTGAGGGTGAGCGACCGGTCCGGGGCATCCCCGGGGCCAGGGGGCACGGGCAGGGGGACAGGCGGTCACAGCGATGGGCAGCGCGGCTGCCCCAGGGGGCCATGCTGCAACTCGGGTTAAAATCCAGCATTCCATGCCCTGCACGCCCGAAAGGAATGCGGATGGTGAGGGTTTAAGGTTTAAGATGAGTTTGAGATGAGTGGTTTAAGGTTTGAGATGAGTGGTTTAAGGAAAAGATTTTGCAGAGTGAATCGTATAAAAGTGAGAAAGATTGAAGTTAGAAACGTTGTGGTACTTGGGGATGTAGATTAGTTGTGAGCCCGTGGTGCTGGGTTAATGGTTGGACTCGATGAGCTTTGTGGTCTTTTCCAACCTTAATGATTCAGTAATTCTGTGGTTCTATAGATATTATGAAAGCCCAGGTAAGTGAGAAATTCAAGGTGTTGCTGAATAGTTTTGGAACAAGTGAAGAGATAATAGGAACACAGAAACCTTGAATTAGATACTGGAAACCACATTTGGCAATGTACCTAAAGTTTTACTCAAGCTAAATCAGTTTTAGGTGAGCTTAGCTCATTATGATGTGAAAACCACACCTCTGCTGCATTGTAGCTTAAATCAAAGTAAGCAGAAGGTGCCCAATAGCTGTTACGTAGGCATGGATTTAGAAATGAAGTAGGTGTATTTTGAAAAAATAAATGTGCTGCTTGTTGGTGGAGATGGACAAAATGAAGCTGCTGTGTTGGAAAACTGCTGCCTTTGGGAAGCGAGAGCAGCTGCCCTGAGGAAAAGCCTTTCTGTGACAGCACCTGGCACGTCTGCACATCCATCTGTCTGTGTGTCTGTCTGTCAGGGCCCAGTAAGGAGGTGCAGAAAAGCCTCTCCTTACACAGCAGAAAGAGGAGCTGAGTCTGTGCTGGAGGGGCCGGGGCAGAGCCTGGGGCCCCAGGCAGGGCAGTTGCTACTGGGGACACACCGAGCACGTCACAGGGGTCCCAAGAGAGACTTTTCAGCTCCAGTCAGTGGGCACTGCCTGGGAAGAGGCTCAGCTCTACTTCCGTGTAGCTCAGTGGTTGGTTGTTGGTTGTTTCATTTACAGCACAGTCAGGCAGACAGTGCCAGTAAGGTGTGCTCTGGAGTCACCTCAACAGGAGACACAGTCACTCCCTGGCCTCCTGCTGAATATCTTCACCCTGCAGTGCTGTTGCTGTCCAGGCAGTGTCAGGGAAGTCTGGGATTCAGGAGCTGTTATCTCCATGCAGTCTCTGCAGTGATAAGGGGAGGAGGACCCCTCCTCATTGTCTCAGGATGACACTCACACAGCTTTCCCAGCTCAGAGTTACTCTGAACCAGCAGCCACGAGCTGCTGCCAGCTCTGCTAGTGCTTGCCTGTATTTAGGTGTGGAACTGAACCAGAAGTACTGACTTAGAGGCCGCTGTGTGCAGCCCTGCAGCTCCATCCCTATCGTGCACTCCCACCGCGTGCTCCACACAGCCTGACCTGTCCCATTGCTCCCCTGTCCCAGCAAACTGCTCAGGCTGCACAGCCTCCCCCTTACAAGATGCCAGGTGGCCAGTGTAGTTCACGAATGGCCAGTCCATCATAGCAAGGAGGTAAAAACCTGAGGCTCAGCTGGTTCAGAGCCAAGCCCTGAAAGAGGGCTCAGGGCTGTGTCCGGCCCTTGGAGCTGGCACAGGCACTGCCTCTGCCAGGGCAGCTGGGGCAGGGCTGGCTGGGGGGTGTGCCCAGGCACGGATGGGGGGGATCCCAGCTGAGCCTGAGGATGTGCCTTTGTTTTCCTGCTTAGGCCTTCGACCAGACCGTAGCAAAGGACAATTCCCTGGCTGTGGGCTACTTCCAGAGAGGGCTGGTCCACCTGCAGCTGGAAATGTGAGTGAGGTGCACAACCAGGGCAGTGTTTGGTTCTTTCCTTTCAGCCATGTTTTATTACCAAACCTAAATGATCTGTGATTCTAAAATTCACTTCTTCCAACAATCTTAAATAGTTCACAGGGTCTGCTTTGGCCTTGCAAACCATGTCACAGGCCAGCAAGTCCTATCTCTGGTAAGAGCTGCACAACTCCAGGGCCCCAGGGGTGGCTAACACATGACATTGCTGTCCTGTACACACAGAGGCTCCTGGGGCTGCCAGGATGTTATATTGCCATTCAGATTTTCTTCAGGAATTAAAAAAATATAATTGGGCTGCTTGGTGTGTCTTGACATGACACACGTGAGTCTGGCCTTCCTAAAAATGTAGTCTGCCCACAGTGTCTGACTGCCACTCTCTGCTGACAGCTGATAAAAGACTGAGATTGCTCCAGCAGTGTCATGGGATTGATTACTCATTGTTTCCATGGTTAAATCACAGTGGCATCCTGCTCAGAGAGGTGGGTGAAGTATTTTCTTCAGGTTTGAAGATCTCTTCTTACCTTTGAGCTTCAGTTATTTTCTTTCCTGTTATTTCCCCTGTATTTTCCAGACCTTAATTTCTGGGAGGGAGTTAAAGCGAGCAGTTCTGCACTCACAGCTGTGCTGTCAGGCAGCTCCAGACTCTGTGCCTCTGCCCACAGAGCCCCAGGCCACACTAGTGGAGCCCTGTCTGGCTCCCTGGAGCTGCTCTACTCCTTATCCTCAGAGCTTTTCTAAATTTGTGCTCTTACTTCTCTGGCCATGCCCTCACTGCTCACCATCAGTGGGGTTCCCACAGCATTCCCACAGCCCTCGCTCCTCCCAGCCACATGTTGGGACAGCACTGCCAGCAGCATCCCGGGCAAGGAGCTCACAGCAGTGGCTTAATCTTTGTTCTTTATGTTTTCTCCTCCTTGGAATTGTGACTGTTCCAGTGGTCAAAGCCTCCTGTTCATCCCTGTCAGGAAAGCAGTGCAGGTAATCCCAGGGGAGAGACACACCATGTTCACTGTGTGCTGTCTCCCAGCAGGCAGAGGACAGTGCTCGCACGAGGACACAGCTCTGGTGCAGCTCTCCTCACCCAGGCTTACAGGGCAGAAGACATGTTATCTGCTTGACTTCTGAACTCCTTAAACAGTCTTCAGCTTTTCTAGCCTCAGTTTTTGTGTCACCTCTGCGCTGCAGGTTTGAGGAGGCTCTCTCTGACTATCACATGGCCTTCCGTCACCTGAGGCAGAACCCCTTCATCGACTACAAGCAGTTGGGGCTGAGGCACATCCTCTATGCCTGGGAGGTAAGAGCCAGCCTGTCCCAGCAATCCTGCCCTTCTGCTGGGGGATTCAGCTGTAGGCACTGGTGACCCAAGAGTTTTTTAAGACTGCACTTTAGAACAGTAAAAAATTTCTGCTTACACTTTTTTTTTTTTTTAAGTAGCTTAATCATAGAAGTCGTGAAACAGTGTCATCTCTGGAGATTTTGGCAAAATTACACAGTTCGGAAAATGAAATTGTTCAGAGCAAGTGCACAAGAATTTGTATACTGAGCTTTTTTATCTTCTCTATACACAGACAAAGTGGTGGCTGCCCCATCCCTGGAAGTGTCCAAGGCCAGGTTGGATGGGGTTTGGAGCATTCTGGGATAGTGGAAGGTGCCCCTGCCCATGGCAGAGGGTGGGAGATTAAGGTCCCTCCCAACCCAAATCGGTCTGGATTCTGTGTAATATTTACAGTCAGTTTGGTGAACTCCTCAACTCAAAGAGCTAAATAGGTTGAAACATAGACAGATGAGAACAAACTTGTCATAATGCAGAAATCCAGATGCATCAAAGCCTGACTTTCCAACTGCAGCAACTGATTTTAATATTCCCTCTGTGCCTGGACTTACCCGTGGGCTGCAGGCTGAGTTTGCTTCTGTGACACTTCACCCTGCAGCTCTTACTGTTACAGAGAGTCAACCTGCCCCATCCTGTTCCAGAGAGCTCTAAGTCTGAACTGACTGTAAATGTTTGTAATATTTGGAAAGTAAAGGACTCCCAGAAACTGTGCTTTACTGCGAGAGCTCGTTTTGTCTTCTGCCCTGAGTCCACACACAGAGGTTGAAAAGCAGATACAGGAAAGGGTATTTAACTCCTTACTTCCGTGGGAGTGAGGAGTTATTGTGTAACTCCAGTCAAGCATATCAGCAATTTTCATGCATCTTATACCTGGCAGGAAGAAGCTCTCCTTGGCATCTGTGAGATTACCCAAACCACCCTGGTTTTAACAGTTTCAGTGCCAGCACTGCCTTCTCTGAGCTGACTTAGAGGTGACAGGTTCCCTTTGAAAGGGCCAGGGCTGCAGGAGTGCCCTGAGGCCATCCAGGGCAGGTTTGTGCCCTTCCTGGTGTGATCACACAGTCCCTCACTCCAGGCATCATCAGGACATGTGCTGGTCCCCCAGACTCAGGATCAGCATCCTGATTCAAGTCTGTCTGGCTCCTACATCTACCTGCAGCTCATTTTTCAAACTACACAGACATAATCCTCCAGCAGAGCTGTGCCATCAACTTTCCCTGTGCACGGCCTCTCACAAAGCTGCAGCCTCTCTTCTCGTGGGAGATACACATAAGCTGTGAAAATCCAAAAATATTTGCCTCTTGCAAGGCTGTGACACCTCTGACTGAGTGAGAACTGCTGCCTTGCCTCTCCAAGAGGGAGCACCTCTGCAGCTCAGGATTGTCGTTTCCCACACCCCCAAACAGCCCCTGCTGTGGTGATTAAGGAGTGAAGAACAGCTCTGTCCCGAGCAGGGCTTGCAGCCAGTACCACAGAGCAGCTCACCAGCTGATAGCCCTGTCACAGAAGATAACCAGCTGTGGCTCCTGGGGCCTCTCTTCTGCTGTAGCCCAGCAGGTTTCCCACACACTGAGTGCTGGCCAGTGACAGGGAGAGATCTCCCACTCCTAATTCAGCACATAGACCAAGGCTCCCCAACACCTTGTCTGCAAGACTCCCACACCCTGCACTTCAGCACTGAACATACTGACATGCTGCTGAAGGGTAACGAGCGACAATCTGCACATTCACAGCCCACTACAACATGAAGTAGTGTCAGTTAAATTATTTTGCAATGACAGGCAGTCAGAATTACAAAAAAATGTCACCTAGTTTCATGCAGAAAGAAACACAGGAAAAGCTTCCTGACCGAAAGGAAGGATCGGATTTAAACTGTGTGGCACCAGAGTCTTCACCTGGTGCCCCCATGTCTCTCCTTGCCTTTACCAGAGCCAGCAGCTCCAACACACACAAACCTCTATCTTTTTCCACTCTGATTATGGTGTTTTTTTCAGCTGTGCTGCTTGGGGTGCCTTTCTTGTTGCTGGATTTGGGGTGTTTCAGTGCCTGGTCCCTGTTTCTTGGCTGAGTTCAGTAGGTCACGTTGGGTGTCCAGCCCTCTGAGCCCTCGCCCTGTGCCCACTGCAGGTGCTGTACAGCACTGCAGCAGTGCAGTGCCACCTGCAGCAGTGGCAGGAGGCCACAGTCACTCTCGAGAAGGCTGTTGTGTGGAGACCTGAGAGAAGAACAGCAGTCCTGGACCTGGCCCTCGAGCGGGTGCAGGTAAGACCACCTCTGAGTTCCTGGGTACATGCTTTGGGCTTCAGCAAAGAACTGTGAGACAGGAGTGTGCTGATCCTTGTGTGTTTGGGTGTTCCTGTCTATCCACCTGCTGACAGAGTCTCAGCCATTTGCTGGGGATGCTCTGCCAAAGGAGTGTTTCAGCTGATCGAGGAACTCCATCACCCCCAGGTGCTTCATGGCCCAGAAACACCATAGTGGAGACTTCTGGGGTGACCTCTCAGGCTGTGGAGGTTTCTTCCTGGTCCCTACTATTCAGGAGCTCAGTTCTGGTCATACTTGTGCCTTGTGCAGTGTTTTAAGTGCAGAACCCCTACAAGTGCAGATCTGGAGAGTCTCCCTTTAGGTGACAGTGTCTTTCTGTGCCTTTGGCCTCAGGAACAGCTGCCTCAGGTGGCAGCTCAGATATTAATGCCAATCTCATTTAGAGCTTAAGTAGGGTGTGGAAGGGTTTCTAGGGCTGCCTCTAAGTAATAGTTTCCTGTCAGACTCCTTTATGATCAGGGAACATTTGCAGATCTCTGATTTAACTCTTCCTGGGCAGTTCATTAGTTTGCTACCTTCATGCTTCCTTATTTGCATACTTTTCAAGAGATGATCACTTTGTTTTTAAGCTAGTCATCTCTTTAGCAACATATTTGTACTTTACAACAGAGTATTACTTATATTTGCTATTAGCATTCTACTCAGTGGCTGAACAGAGAAACCATTTGAAGTCAAGCAGAAAAACTGTCTAGGAAATTGTTTAATGAACCTTCCGGCACTGCCCCCCTTCCCACCCATCCCATGGGCAGAGTCAGTCCTTGACTCCACAGCAGGGAGTGGCTGCTGAGCTCTCAGTTTGCACGTGCCTATTGAGTGCCTTTGGCAAGTTCACAGCTGTAATTTTTGCCCCAGTGTCTTCCTGGAGCTGCTCTTGCACACCTGGGGAACTGCATTGGCTTTTCACTGCTCTGATGTTTCATTTAATATCAACTGATGGCTTTTCCCTTATCTGTTTTCCCTGCCCTAGGACCACCTGCTTTTAGAGCCCATGCAGGTTCCTCTCGGGGAACTTTTTAGACCACGGAAGAAGGAAGTTGAACAGTTGGATTCCAAAGATTTCCTGGGTAAACCCAAGGTAACAGGCCTATAATCATTAAGATTAACAGCAGCAGATTAAAATCCCACCTCTGCAGACTCCAGAGAGCAGTGCTAAGGGCCACTGTGCTGGAGGTGACCCAGGAGTAGAGTGGTCAGTGCTTGCAGCCAGTCCAGGCATCTGGGACACAGAAGCCAAAATTTGCTAGGATTGCTGCCTCTTCTATCAAAAATGCACTTTGGGACTAAAACCCCTTTCTAATCTTGGTCACTTTGAAGTCTGAAAGGGCCAAGCAGGTACTCAGGGAACTTGTGGTTCCCCTCTTTTCAAAAAAGAGGAGCACATTCCAGCTCAGTCCTTCATTCCCAGTGCGACAGCTGGGCATTTGGGAGACAGATGCTTTGTCACATCCCTTAACACAAGCCAGCTGAGAATTTCTCTGATCCCTTCTGTGACCAGTGCAGTCAGCAGAAGTGTCACAGGCCAAAGAGCTCTAACAGGAATAAAGGAAAGGGAAAGTAATTCCTTCCATGTACTTTTAAAGAAAGCTTAGAAAGACTTAAAAAAACGAGGTCTGTTGTGGGAATCCAGCTCTGCCTTTTCTGCCGTGTACATTGCTCTGTTAACCTTAGGATGTGAGAAGGAAATGAGTCTGAGTAGGTAATCTTGGATGAAGTTTGGGAGTCTCTTCATCCAGCCTGGATTCACTCGTTACCTTGTCCTCCAACAGGTGATCTCGTCCATCATTCCCAATGATGAGTACATTGGCTTTGAGCCTCTCAGGCCTCAGGTGAGCAGGACACAGCTGTGGATGGGGGAATGAAACTGTCCTGGAGCTCCAGGCAGGGGCTCAGTTCCTAACACAGCAGGGCAAGAGTGGATTGTTGGAGGAACCAGTGCACTGTCAGCCTGGCTCCACGGGGATGTTCAGAGCCAGGCTCAGCACTGGCTGGAAGGGACTCGGTGATAGGAGTCTCCAGCCCCTTGAAGATGCATTTTTGGCCCTTCACCAGCAGTGGAGACTTTGCTGTGCTCAACATGCCTTCACCCAGCACTTCAGTAATCTGTGAGCATGAGCACGGCTGCCTTGCACTGTAACAGGAGTTCCCTGAACCAGGGGAAGAGGGTTTGTTACTTGCCTCCTGAAGAGGTAAAGAGGGAGGGGAAGAAACAGAGGGTACATCCTGCTAAGGTGTGGAGCAGCAGACTTCTGTCTGGGTGGTGTGGAGTGACAAAAGGGGTCAAGAGTAAAGACAAAACACCTCAGTGTGGTGTTCAGAGGGGCAGGGGATAAGGTGGCACTGCTGCCACATGAGGCACTGTTATAAACACATGCTGTTGTTTCTCCCCCAGAAACAGGGCTTTTATGAACCCAGCACTGATGCTCTGCGGTGAGTGTTGTCCACCTTGATCTAACTTTCCTCTTGCTATTTCTGTTCAGAAAGTCATGCTTTGTTCTCTGGTGTCTTGGGGTGGAGACTGAGGGATCCACATGCGCTTCTCACCAAGGGTGGGGTGAACGACAAGCATGCAAAGGCTTGTGTGGATGCAAAGGGCACTGTGGGTCCCTGGATTCTCTCATGCAAGAATCTCTGGGCAGTTTGCAGGGGTTGATTCAGCAGCCTTGGGAGACAGGCATGGATCATGCTGAGCAATGAAAGAGAGAGGTTGTGGGACCTGCCCAGGTCTGTGACAGAGGATGCTCAGCTGTCCCATCCTGGTTCCAAGGTCAAGGCTTCCAAATACTCCCAGCCCTGCTGTGCTGAGCCAAAATCAGGTTCAAAACCCATGAAAGCAATTTGTTTTGGTGATATTGCACCAGCAGTACTTCGGGCCCGAGTTTAATAATTGTTTTGATCTGGAGAATGTTTATCAGTACAATGAAAATCAGTGCTTTCCAAGCTCCTTTGGTTCGCAGTTGGACCAAAGTGTAGCAATGGAAATAATGAATTCCCAACACCTGAAACTCATGGCACAGGGCAGTTGAGGTTGGTGCAGTGCTCTGGATCAAAGCCATCAGCACCAGCACTCTGGGGTTGGTAAAGGTGCTCTCCCTCGTTCTCCACAGGGACAGTGAGGCAGGATACCATCGAGTCTTGTCCCAGTACTGCCCCGAGCAGGCGCAGGAGCCGGTGGTGAAGGGCGGCAGTTTGGTGTTTGTGCTGAGCAGGGGAGCAGATGGCTGGGCCACAGCCATCCACGATGGACAGGTGAGCAGAACAGGGGGCTGCACAGCCCAGCTCCCAGCAGAGCCCACAGCCCTCAGGGTCACCTGCAGCCCTGCAGGGCAGGGGTGAGTTCAGGAGCTCATTTCCACACAGCAGAGGTTTCCTGACACTTGGCTCCCACCAGCCTGTGCCATTCACCTCTGCACTTCCATGTGGGCATCCCTTGTGCTCTCCATCATCCAGGATCCTACTGCTGAATCATGTGGGACACCAGACCTCACCAAGGACCACCAACTAGAGCAGTTTCTGTCACCTGAGAGCTCTAAGGGAGCTGAGGAGATGGCTCAGTCCTTACCCTGATGCCTCTGTTAAATTAACTTTGGGAAGGCTTGGGGACAGTTTCAGCTGTGCAGGCAGGTTTTATAAAGGGCTCTAGAGAAGAACTAAGGAACTAAAGCCCAGCAAATATGATATTTTCCTGCATTCTGGGGAACTGTGGTGTAAACAGATTGAATAGAAACAGATAAATACAACAACATGGAAAATCTTTTGTTGGCAGAAGCCATTTCTCACATGTCTACTTCAGTTCTTTGAAAAAGCCATTGCATCCCTGGATTAGGTTCAGCCAGTGAATGTATTACCTGCCTATCTTTCCAAAACAGTCAAAAGATTCTTCACAAGACTACTGTAAAGTGAGGTGTCTGAGCAAGGGACACCCTCAGGCTGGTAACAGGTTAAAATACAGAATAAATAGTGGCTATAAATGAACAGTTGATTTTTTCTTTTCTTTTTTTTTTTTTCCCCAAGTAATTATGTACCCACGGTGAATCTGCTGTGACATAAACATTTAGCAAATTCCTAAGTGATACAGTAACAGGGGTAGTAATATCGTGCTTCTCAAGCTGGCCATGTTCCATGACAGACAATCAATCCATTCAGCAGAGCCTTGGGCATCTGCAGCTAAGAGTGAAAAGTCACACAAGTATTTGGATGTGCTGGTTCCCATTCAGCGAAGTGTCAGGTGAAATTCAAAGTCAAAAAAAAAGTAAAATAATAGACTCTGGACCAAAAAAAAAAAAAAAAGGCATTTTAAGCAAAAAATTACTCATAATGATCAATTGAAATTATTAGCAGTGATTGTCAGAAGACACAGAAATGCTGCTGGACTGGTATCCCTGGGCATCCTTGCTGCTCTCTCTGCCTGAGCATCTGTCCTGGGAGCAAGGGCTGTGGCTTGGTGAGTGTCTGATGTGTTACAGCCACTCCATCAGCAGTGCTGCTTCCAGCAGGGAAAGCTGCAAAAGGACCCTTGGGTTTTGTTCAGCAGTGTCAGAGCATGAGGCACAGGGGGGCTGTGTGTGCCCCCAGGACGTTTGGGTGGCTGTAGGGGGACAGGCAGTGACAGGGGCTGGGGGGGTTGGGGCTGCCACAGCAGCAGCTCCTGTTTCACCCTGCTCTGCTCTGTGTCCCACAGAAGCTGCACATCCCAAGCTCTCTCCTGGAGCCTGTCTCAAGGATGGATAAATGGGTAAGCTGGCAACCTTGCAATAGGGGTGAGGGAGGGACCAAGAGATACATTTGGGACATTTATCTGTAAATTAATCACAGGATAGGACAACTGTGTAAGAGAAAGGTAGGGTGTGAAACACTGAGACCCTTGACTGAAGACCAAGTTTTCTTAAACAGGAAAAACAGAAGAGTCAAGAGCAAGGGAATATGCCTTTTTTTTTTTTTTTTTAATACATTGCATCTCTTTGCAGCAAAATCTGTGGGCTTGGACATGCAGCCAAGCTTGTATCACAACCTGCTCTAGGTGTTGTTCTCCCTTCCCTGCCGCGGGCTGAGGAGAACAAAAGGAGCTGCCCCAGCTCTCCTGCCCCACTGTAATTTGTTCAGCCACTGGAACAGGCTGAGGAATTTGAGGGCCTGAGGCACAGGTGTATCCAGCCTGCTCCCAAGATGGCTACAGCCCCAGAGGTGGCAGGGACGAGGGTGGTGAGTGCTCACATGTTCCAGTTCACCAGCACAGTGAGAGCAGGTGAATCTCCTGCAGTGGGACAGGAATGCCTTAAGCAGGCCCTGCATTCTGCCCTGAGATCATGTGCCTGACCTTTGACTTGGGAAGACTTCATCTCCCATCTCCACCACAGGCACATCCACACCTTTTCCCAGTCGTTTTCCGTCTGAATCCAGGGTGGGAAGGTGCAATTCAGACCCATGTTTCCTGTGAGGGATTTTTGAAGCACATGGTTGTTCAGATGTTGCTATGGGGTTTTTTTACTATTATTTTTTCCCCTCCAAATGAATCCCTGACCACAGCACACTCTTGGGCATTTGCTGCATGGATGACTCACTGTGAACCAGCCCAAGCTGGGGAGAGCCCTCAGCACAGTGTGAGCAGCCCCCGTGTGCTCCAGCACCCACCCAGGCAGGGCCAGGGGGCCAAGGAAGTGTCCCACAAACCTCTTCTCATGCCCACAAGAGCCTGAGTGACCCACATCATGCAGCTGTTCAGTGGACTGGTCTCCCTGGGATTGCACCCACAAACTGTACCTGGCTGCAGCCATCACACCCCAGCCTTGTCCGGCTCCAGTGTCTTCTCACTCCTTTCTGATGTTGTTCTGTTGCAGAAGATCAGCAGTGGGATCCCCCTTCCTCCTGCCCAGGTGCCTCCCAGCCGCCTGCATGTGAAGCAGAAGCGAGGTAGTCCCTGGGCCACCTCAGTGGGTGAAGCTGTGCCCAAACCCGCTCTTCTGGGGGTCGTGGGGAGGCTGGGGGCCCACTGTGTGTGTGCTTGAGCTTCCAGCAGCCTCTGCTGACTGCAGGGCTGTTCCTCTGCTCTTGTTCTGTTCTGCAGAGTCTCCTGGGGGAGAAAATGCCTTTTCCAGTGATGCCAGTGCCCAGATGGACTCCAAGGTGAGTTGTTCCACCAGCTGAAGCTGGTACAGCCTCAAGACACTAGGGCTGTGAAAAGGGCAAGATTCCTGCCCAGATCCTCCAAAATTCCTGAGCTGCTCCAAAATCATGGAAAAAATCTCCTTCCTCTGACCTCTTTTTCATTCTAAAGGGAGACTCCCATGTGGGAGTCTTTGTGAGACAGTCCAGGGCTGAGATTCACAAGGCACTGACCTGTTGCCACCCTCCAAGGTGCCAAGAGCCCCAGACACATCACTGTTGTCATACACACTCTTTAGAGCCCACTTTGCAAGGGAGAGCTGTCTTTGAACTCCCTGCTGTCTCTTCCCCCTTCTCTCGTGTGCCATTCTCTGTCCCTGTCAGTCTGGGTACCACAGTTCATTCATATTTGCATTCTGGGATGATGTTCTCTGAGGCACCTCCATGTCATTGCCAACCTCTGTGTGTGTGATGGCCCTGGAATCGCTCTTGTGTCCACCTGGGGGCAGAACCTCTGTCCTCCAGCTGCAGGTCAGCTCTGCCACCCCTCTCTGCAGGGCATTTGGAGTAGCTTTGTCAGGTGTACCTCAACCAGAAGGCAGCACAGCATGGGAACGTGGCTGCTTCCCTCCAGCTGGCTGGAGGAATTGGGATCCTACTCACGTAATTTTCGGGTTGGGAGATACCTGCACAAATCAGACCCAGGAAGAGGTTTCCTGAGTTGTGGGAGGAACGTTTGATTCCGGGCTTTGAATCCGTAGTTCCCCCTCTGAAGTTCAGGTCTGCATTTTGATGATGCTCTACCGTGACACGGCAGCACAGAGAGGAGAGGTTGTGTCTGTGTCACCTCTCTTGGATACAAGAGCCAACATAGTCAGCTGAGGTTCTTAGTCCATGAACTTCGTAGTCCAGGCTCTTCCAGAGGGTGGTTGGCACTGAACAGGCTCCCCAGGGCAGTGGGCACAGCCCCAAGGCTGCCAGAGCTCCAGGAGGGTTTGGACCACGCTCCGAGGGACAGGGCGGGATGGTTGGGGTGTCTGTGCAGGGCCAGGGGTTGGACTTGAATGATCCTTTTGCGTCCCTGTCCCAGCAGGTCCCCGGGAGCCGCGGAGAGGCCCGGCCAGTGGTGCTGCGGGCGCGCTGCGAGTGCACTCTGGTGCTGCGGGCGGGGGAGCTGCCGGCCCTGCCCGCCCTGCGGGCGCTGCTGCGGGAGCGCTTCGGGCAGCAGGCACAGCGGGGCACTCTGAGGTAAAAGGAGGGGTTTGTGCGTGTGAGAGAGAGAGATGGAACAGCAGCCATCCCTCCCCCTGAGCACACAGCCACACTGCGTGTGGCTGTGTGCTCAGGGGGAGGGATGGCTGCTGGGGCATCGCACTCGGGGCTGAGGAATTCCAGCCTGAGGGAGCTGAAAAAGGGGGTTGGAGCTTGGGGGGGGGGGGGGTTTGGAAGTGAATGATCTTTAAGGTCCCTTCCAACCCAAACCATTCTATGACTCTCAGGGCTTTGAACACCCAAAAGGATCTTTCCCAGAAAACAGTACATATCAAGAGAAAGGGGGAACAGAAGGAAGAACTCTGTGTGGATGCAGCTGCTGTTTATCGGATTTTCTCCTGCTCGGCTCAGCCTTTGCAGTAACTGGGATCAGTGCAGAGCAATTTGGGAGTCAGGTCCTAGAGTGTGATATCCCTGACTGGGACACTCCTGGGACACAGTCACTGGAGCCAGGAGAGTTTAGGATCTTGCCCTCAAGTCAGTGTGAGAGGAGGTGACAGTGTCACTCCTCACAGTGCCATTTCTGCTGAGCATGTGGGGTGGCCCCATGTCACTGTGCAGGGTGATAAGCTCAGAGCTGGCCTGCATGGGGGACTGTGAAGGCTGAGGGTGGCAGAGGGCTGGGCTTTTCTCAAAGTTTGGATTTAAATGAGATGATTTGTGCTGCATTAACAAACCCTTGCAGCTACAGGCACCCGGATGGCACTGAGCTGGGCACAGTCTCGGGAGAGGAGGATCTGGGGAGGATGTGGCAGCAGCTGACAGATGGCAGGGTGACACTCTGCTGCCAGGTACAGGAGCTGTGACAAGTGTCTCTGCTGTGCTGGGCTCCAGTCTGTGCTTTGTCTTGCAAGCTCCATGGCTTTTCCTGCAGGACTCGGACTCTCACTCGGGCAGACCTGTCCTGTACCAGATGCTGGCTCAACACTCTTACCTGGCACAGGGACCAGGAGACCTGGAGTTCAGCAAGGGAGATGTGCTGGATATCCTCTCTGAAGGTAGCTCTCCAGTCCTGCTGCAGGTTGTGCTGGGACAGGCTTTTGGAGTCTGCTGTGGGGAGGGACTGGGAATGCAGGGCCTGTCCCGTGCTGCCTCAGGTCCATACTCTCAGGAGTGACAGGCTTGCACTGGGCTTTGTCCAGAGTTAAATTCCAGCCATGAAAACTCTCACTAACCCCACTGATAAGGTCCAGGACTCATCCTGCTCCTCTGTGTTTTCTCAGTGAACGAGGACTGGCTGGAAGGATGCTGCAATGGCAAGACTGGCATCTTCCCCAAGTGCTTTGCCACCCAGACCGGCTGTGGTGCTGCCTTCCTATAGCAAACAGGAGCCTTTTCCTGCCTGACTGCACTCCCAGGAATGGGAGATACCGATCCCAGCTCACTCAGGCCCCAGCCAGCCCAGCCAGGAGCTCTGCTGAACCTGGACAGGGGTATCTCCTGCTCACAGATCCCACGGGGTCAGTCCAGCAGTCTGACAGCATTTCCCACAGCCTGTCCCCAGACCCTGTGATTACACTGCCAAAGATGTGTCTGTGCAGAGCAGAGGGAGGGATCTGGTATTTGGCTGTGGGAATTGTCCATGTGGCAGCCCAGACCTCTGGGTTGGGAAGATGTTCCTCTGGGTGGGAAGAGGTTCCGCTGGGTGAAGGTCTTCATCCCCTCTCCCTTGTTGCTCACATTCAGGCTGGGAAGGCTGAGCCTCACTCTAACAAAGCCAAGGATGGCTGCCTGGGAGCAGGAGGCAGAGCCCTCAGGTGACATAACCTTATCTCCACCAGCAGAGATGCAGCAGAGATGCTGCTCCTTCAGAAGGCTTTGGGGACCAGTTTGCAGTGGGGTTAATGGGATAACACCATGGGTTAGGATCACCATGCTTCCACAGCAAATACCTTATGATCTGAGCATTCTTCAGCCCAGGTGCCTTCGGTTCTTTTCTTAAGCCCCCAGTCCAAGGTGGGGCATTGCAGCCCAGAGGAGAGGGAATTGCAGAGACCTGCCCTGCTCAGAGCAGCTCCAGGCTATGGGAGAGCCCTGGAGGCCCTGGGGAGAGGGCTGGGAAGTGCAGCCGTGGGCTGGTGCTGCAGGGACCGAAAGGGCTGCCAAGTTCCTGCAGCTGAGCTGGGCTGGGCTTTGCTGATCTAAATAAAACACTCAAGTGTCTGGAGCTGGAACCCATTCTGGATTTGGAGTCTGACAAAGCTGGGCTATGCAACTTGAATATAAAATAAACCCCGAGCCAGAGTTGGCAACTCTTAAATCAACTTCCACTTGTGATTTTCTGCTGAGATATGCCAGTAAATATTTTTAAAGACAGCTGACAGTGTCTTTGGAGATGATCATCTGTCACACACTACAAAAATATTGCACATCTTGCACAGGGCAGGATACAGATGATGTCATCCCTCTCCTCAGAGTTAGATGCCCACCATGGCTCTCCATCTCTTGCCTCCCAGGGCTGTTGGGAGAGCAGCCCAGCAGGACTGACAGTGCCAAGGAACCTGTGCTAGGCTGGGCAGTGACATTCGTATTTAAAAACAAAATGGATTTTATTTCTAGTTCGAATTTATCTGGCTTCATCCAGCCACCAAGTCTCAGTCAGCTTTTGGCAGTCAGATTAGAGGAATCTTTTCCTCTTGGAGGTTCAGAGAGATCAAGACAACTTTGTAACCTTAGACATTCACAGAGATGACCCAGTCAGGTCTCCTGAGCAACGGAGATGGGTCTAATGCCCTCATTCTTCTCCCCCTTCCACCTCTTCCGCACCACTTCCTTGCCTGGGTTAGTGGGCAGGATGCCTGGAATCAGGAGGCTGGGAGCTACTTGGTTTTCCAGAAACACAGGAGGAGAGCAGCCACCAGGCCTGTCACAAGGGCCAGCACAATGAAGGAGACAGCCCCTGCCCACAGCCCGGGCTGGTGGCCCTTGACGAGTTCCAGAGGCTCCGCGGGGATCATGTTGGTGAAGTTCAGCATGAAGCCCAGCGTCCACCCGATGTCCGTGTTTGCTGCCTGCAGGGACAGAGCAGAGGGGACACCCTAAAGTACCTGTGCCAGGCACCAGTAGCGCCGGTGCAGGATGACATCCTTCCATCCTTCCAGCCCTGGTAGAGCTGCCGTTTTATGGCTGGACCTGCCCGTGGTGAACCCAATCCTGCCAGCAGCTTCCCTGTCCCACTTCCCCAGTGACAAGGGACAGCTGAACACAGATGATGGCTCTGATCCAGGTGTGCCTCTGTGACCTGCACGTGATGTTGGATCTGAGCCATCCTCCTTCCCCATCATCCTCCTGATCTGGCCACAGTATTGTTAAGGTTGGAAAAGACCTTTAAGGTCATTGAGTCCAACCATCCAAACATCAACCCAGCACCACCACCACGTTCACCACTAAGCCATGACTCCAAGAGCTACATCACAAGTTTTTTTAACACTTCCAGGGATGGTGACTCCACCACTGCCCTGCGCAGCTATGTCAGTGCCTGACCACCCTTTCTGAGAAAAAAAAATTCCCAATATCTAACATAAGCCTTCCCTGGCACAACCTGAGGCTGTTTTCTCTCATCCTGGAAATATTGTGGCCTGGCCATACTCTGTTCAAATGGGTCATGGGGCCACCATCACCTCTGTGATGATAACATCAGAGACCAAAGTGGGCAAATCCTGCCCTGCATTTCCCTGACCCCCTTACAATCAGTTAAGTTCACACCAGAGAAAGTGAGAAGGGAGTGGGGTCAGAGATTTGGGAGCAGTAAGAAGGAATGGAGCTCTGCTGGGATCACTGGGGAGCGGCCATGAAACAGGGACACATTTCTGGTGCAGGAGACTCCAGGGAGGCTGCTCTTGGACATACCCAGGGCAAGGCTGAGGCTGCAGCTGCCCACAGGTGTGTTTACCTGCCGGCTGAAGTGGATGTTGCTCCAGGTGTGCTCACTGAACTTGAAGCCATCAAGCAGCAGTGTCAGGATGTAAATGCCCACCGAGCAGTAGGTGTGCAGGTACTTCTTGGCCTCTGGGAAGGTCTGCTCCAACTGTGGGGCCACAGGGCAACAGGGAATGAAACGTGCTCAGAAACCTTCCCCAGCCCTGGGAACAGCAGGACATGTGTTCCCCAGGCACAGATTTAGGACAGGACAAGCACAGGGCTCCTGGCTGCCCTGCACAGGGCTCTCACCTCTGACCAGTTCCTCTTGCAGAAGGCCAGGATTGTAGCGTTGACATCATTCAGAGACTTCTGGGTGGTCAGGTTCAGGAAGCTGAAGGTGTAGTAGAACCCAGCAAAGGCCTGGGGGGTAAGGGGAGCTGGTAAAAAACACATCTCCTTCCTCACCAGAAAAAAGACCCAGGGGCCCTCTTGCCTAGGGACAGAGTTCCATGTAACTCCCAGGGTTCTGCATCCAGCACCCACTTGATGGTCTACCAGAAAGTCTTGGAGCTGGCTGACAAGACCTGCAGCTGCTGCTTGCACTCTGAGCTAGCTCAGACTTGCCCCCTCAGACGAGGCCTTCCCACTGCCCTCAGGAGGCAAAATCCACCTCCTGGTATAGGAGCAGAGGTTTGCAGAAGGGACCAGCTCTGAGGTCTGCCCTCTCCCCACCCATTCCCACAACCAGGGGCAGAGGAGGTTCCAACCCTCGCTCTTCCCCCTTCTCCCCCAAAGACAGGGAGGGAGGCTCCTTACGAAGAACTGTCCCCGCACGGGGGGCTGGTACACCCCGTTGAACCCGCACGGCCTCGGGGCCCCGCAGCTGAAGTTGAAGAGTTTCTGGACGGCCGTGCTGCACCTGGCTGGGTCCCCTGTGCCCGTCACCGTCAGCACCTGGGCAGGGCTGGCTGTGCTGGGGGCACGCACACACGGACTGTCATAGAGCTCTGCCACGGTGACGTTCTCCTGGTACCCCCGGGGGTAGCAGGGGTGGGAGATCTGGGCAGTCACGTTTTCCTGCAGACAGAGGGAGACAGCAATGGGGTGGGGGGTGCCAGGGAGACCCCACCCACAGCCCAGCCCAAACAGCAGCACCTGGACCCCAGGAGGATTTGAGGAGAAGCAGGATCCGTCCAGTGCACGTCCAACCTGCCCACGGCTCTCCCTGTCCCCCCCCCACTGAGCCGTGCTGGGGTGACAATGGCACTGCCAGCTCCACGAGTGGCACCTGCTCCCCAGGGCAGTGCTGGTGCTCTGCCTGCACCCACAGCTTGGTGCTCGGGGCACTCGCTCCATCCCCACCGCGCCCTGCAGGCCCTGGCCCAGGAAGGACCAAGGATGGATCCCGACTCTGCTTCCTGAGCATCCCTGGAGCCCGGGGCACGGAGAGCTCTGGCCCAGGGCAGGCAGGAGGACACTGCACAGTGGTGGAGCAGTGTGGGGATTGTGCTGGGAATCCTCTCTCTGGGCACAAATGGAGCAAGGGGGAGAGAATATGGACAAGGAACATCTACAGATACAGCTGGGCTTGGGAAATGACAAAAAGTGCTGTTACACATCAAGGTCTGGGGAGAAGGGCAGGAACCACCCCCATTTGCCACCCAAAGGAGGGAATTTTTGGTTCCATAGACAAAATCTCCAGCTTCCCCAGTTCCCTGACACTTCATCCACAGCATGCCCAAGGTTTCTGGGAGACGCCGTTCGTGGCAAGGGGGGTGGGCTGAGGAGATGCCGAGCCCCGAGGCTGTGGTACCTGGTGCAGAGCTGCCAGCAGCATCTTCAGGGCCTGTGTCTGCCCGTAGCACAGGTAGCTGTGGCTGTAGAGAGAGTAGTTGGTGCCGTACAGGCGGAAGAAGACCGAGGTGTTCGTGTCCTCCACGGGCACTCCGGGCTGGAAGGTGATTTGTGTCGAGGCACCTCCAAGGTCCAGAGCTCCCAGAACCTCGGTGTCCTCTGGATGTTCCCACCTCTCTGCAAAGGAAAACTGGCCCAAGAGGCAGCAAGCGTTAGTCTGAAGGCAAGGCACTCCCAGGCCCTGGGAAAACCCTCACAGCTTTTGGGGCTCAGAAGCCCCAGAGGGACCTCCCCTGCCCTGTCCCCCAGCTCACACCTTGACCAGTGTCTCCAGCAGGTAGTTGACGGTGATCCAGCCAAAGGAGCCCTCCTCTCTGCCCGTCAGGATCCGAGCTCCACGGAAATCCACAGGGTACTCCCCAATGGCCTTGGCCACCTCGGCAAAGACCCGCTCGGCCTTGCTGCTGTTCTGCTCCCTGGCAGGGAAGGCACCAACACGGCTGGGGCACGAGGCCTCCGCTGGCAGCTGTGGCAGCTGGGCTGGCAGCGACAGGCTGCTGTGCCCTGCCAGGGAGCGGGGCTGCCCACAGACACCTCATCCCCCATCACTGCCCTGTCTGTGCCGGCTCCTGTGAGCCCCAAACCCCTCACCTGGCCCACTGCCAATCTGCTACCCCCACAGCACTGGGGAGGCGAGTGCCAGTCTGCCAAAGGGGCTTCATCCACCCCTGGGGCTGCAGGGGGCTGGGGGGATCCCCCGGGCACGGCCAGGGCCTGTCCTGGACAGCCCAGGCACTGCAGACAGGGATGCTCTGCCCACCCGCACTGCCCGGGCTGTGCCCGCCCTGCCCCGGCCCCGGCCCAGCCCGGCCCCGGCCCCCCCGGTACCTCAGCAGCCGCATGCCGGCCGTGGCCCCCAGGTAGGTGGGGGTGTCCCGCTGCTGCTCTGCCGGCACCATCTGCATGGCCTTGTCCAGGCAGGGCCTCAGGCTGGCGCCAGCCCCCGCGGGGTCGTCTGCGTAGCTGGAGATGCCGGGTCCTGCCAGAGGGCACCAGTGATGGCAGAGCCCAGAGCACCCCGAGGGACAGCACAGCAGGGCTCGTGTCCACCCAGAAAGCTCCCAGGAGTTTTTGGTTGCATAGGCAGGCTATTCCCAGCCTTGCCAGGGTGTCCCTGAAGTGGGTGCTCCTAGCTGGCCTGCCAGGAGACAACACCGGTGTCACAGCCACACATCCCACGGCGAGCGGAGCTCCAGCTCTGGATGCTGATCATGCACTTAAGCCCGGGTAGGCTGAACTGTTTGGACACGGCCAGGCAGTCCTGCAGGACTGGGTGACAAACAGCCGTTCCCCATGTCCCCGAGGAAGGGGCAGGTTCTCCTGCCTCCTGCTGCAATGGCATGCGGAGCTGATACGAACACAGAGGTGCCCTCTGCACAGCCTGCCTGAGCTCCTGTTTTCAGAGGCTGGCACAGGATCTGAGCGCTCGGCACGGTCCTGCCGGTCCTGCCGTCGGCAG